CCCCCCCTGCCGGGCTGCCCCCCCCCTGCACACACTGGGGAGGGAGGTGGGGGTGGGCAGAGCCACTCTCCGGGTTTTGGCATGGCGTGGGGCATCCCAGCGGCGCGGGTGGGTGGGAGAGGGCTGTGGGGGCCTGGGCGGGCGCCGGCCCTGGCTGCAAGGTGAGCAAGGGCCAGCTTGGGTTGCAGGGGTGCCCATCAACCTGGCGTCTGGGCACGCAGACAGAGGGGTGGCTCCGGAGCCCCGAGCTGGCCCCGCAGGGAGCGCTGCGCCAAGCCCCCCACACTCCCCATCTGTGTCCCATGGAGGGGGGGGTAGGACCTGGGCACAGGCAGGATGCCAGTGGGTCCCAAGCCCCTGACAGGCATGCCACCTCCCCGGAGCGATGCGGCAGGTCCCCAAGCATGGCCTGGGAGTCCCCGGGGTCCCATCCGTGGGCACCAGGAGCCCACCGTTCCATCAGCAGGCTCAAGAGGGGCCAGGGTGCCCCCCGTGATGGTGGGGCAGTGGGGTGGCATCTCTCCAGGGACCAGGGGACAGCATGGGGAGAGGACAGGTAGCTTGGGCACTGGCACTGCCTCGGGTCTCACCACCCCGCTGGACTCCAGCCCCCCCACGGACACTGTTCATCAGGGCTCTCGATGCTGCCTGGGGGGCCAGGAAAGGGTCCCGGTCCTTGGCCCCCATGGTGGGCAGTGCCCACTGCGGGTGGCTCTGGGTGAGCAGAGACAAGCTCCACCTGACAGCCAGCTCCCGGTGAGGTAGGGCAGTATTATTCTCCCCATTTTACAGATGGGGAAACTGAGGCGCGGAGCAGGAAGGGTACCCGCTGGAGCTGGGCCGGGGCACAGCGCCCACCCCAGGCTCGCTGCCCCATCCCGGGCACAGGTCGGGGGGTGCCCGCGCCTGCCATGGCTCATGCCCCCTCACCACCACCGTGGGTGATGGGCAGCAACGGCGGAAGGTCCCCAGGGAAGCCTGGCAGGGCCGTGGCACGCAGGCTGAGCCCGGGGCCGGCTCTCCCTGGGGCACCGGTGGGTCGGGGGGAGGTTGGCGTGGGCACCCGGTGCTGGCTAGTGGCTGCCGCCGCTCTTTCCACCCCCCGTGGCCCAGTCGATGATGATGAAGCTCAAGCTCATGATCATGAAGAGCACCCCGAGGAGCGCGAAGCAGGCAGCCTGCAGGGACAAGGAAGCGGGTCAGGGATGCCCAGGGTGATGGGGTGCCCAGACCAGCCCCAGGACCCCCATCCCTGTGCCCCCCTCACGCTTACCAAGATTTTGGGGGTGGAGCGCAGCGGCTCCTTGTCCTTGGGCATGATGCGGATGTAGAAGATGGCGGGGAAGATGAAGATGAGGCATGGAGCGGAGGTGGCACCTGGAGCAGAGAGGGACAGAGCGGGCAGGGGGCCCCCGCCCCATGGCTCAGCACTGCCAGCCCCTGCTGCCGGGCCAGGTTCTGTCCCGCCCCCTCACTGCTATCCCTAGCCCTGGCAAAGCCTTCCAGGAACCCGGGGACGCCGTGTCCTGGCACTGTCCCCATGCCCCCCTCCCTGCAGCCAAGGCCTTGGCACTGAGCCGGGTGCCAAGGGGGGGGAGCCAGGCTTGGGGGATCGAGGGAAATACCCAGGGGAAGAGAAGCACCAGCCAGCAGCGCCGCGAGCAGCCATCACCTCACCGCAGGAACCAGCCTGCCGGGACGGGGGGACAGGGCTGGGGACGCCCCCACACCCCCCCTGGTCCCGTCATGGTGAGAAGGGGAAACTGAGGAATGGGGGGGTTCGGGCAAAGCCCAGCGCCCAGGGGGGCAGGGGCTGGTGTGCTGCCCGTGGAGCCCAGCGCCCGGGGGGGACAGGAGCAGGGCGCTGCCACACACCGATCATGCCGAAGATGCCAAGGATGGAGGGGGCGAAGATGACCAAGAGGTTGATGAAGGTCAGCAGGACCACGGCAATGGTGATGTGGCGGATCCAGCTAAAGTCCTTCCCTTGGAACAGCATCTGCTGGATGGCCCGGCGCACCTGGGGCCAGGGACCAAGAAAGGGTGTCACATCCATCCTTGGACCCAGGGCCCATCCCATCCCTTGTCCCTGAGTTGTGATGGTCCCCAGCATCCCTTCCCAGCCCTGTCCTCACATCCTGGCAGTCCCCGCTTGGAACAGCATCTGCTGGATGGCCCGGCGCACCTGGGGCCAGGGACCAAGAAAGGGTGTCACATCCATCCTTGGACCCAGGGCCCATCCCATCCCTTGTCCCTGAGTTGTGATGGTCCCCAGCATCCCTTCCCAGCCCCGTCGCCACAGCCCTGCTGGGCCCCATCACCCCTTCCTCTGCCCTAGCCCTGTCCCAGTAGCCCTGCTGGTCCCCATCGTCCCTTCCCAGCCCCGTCGCCACAGCCCTGCTGGGCCCCATCACCCCTTCCTCTGCCCTAGCCCTGTCCCAGTAGCCCTGCTGGTCCCCATCGTCCCTTCCCAGCCCCGTCGCCACAGCCCTGCTGGGCCCCATCACCCCTTCCTCTGCCCTAGCCCTGTCCCAGTAGCCCTGCTGGTCCCCATCGTCCCTTCCCAGCCCCGTCGCCACAGCCCTGCTGGGCCCCATCACCCCTTCCTCTGCCCTAGCCCTGTCCCAGTAGCCCTGCTGGTCCCCATCACCCCTTCCCCTGCCCCAGCCCTGTCCCAGTAGCCCTGCTGGTCCCCATCATCCCTTCCCAGCCCCGTCACCACAGCCCTGCTGGTCCCCATCACCCCTTCCCCTGTCCCCACAGCCCTGCTGGTCCCCATCATCCCTTCCCAGTCCCATCACCACAGCCCTGCTGGTCCCCATCACCCCTTCCTCTGCCCCAGCCCTGTCCTCGACAACAGCCCATCCTGTTCCTCAATCCCTGTGGCCCCACCAATCCCTGCCACCCAGTCCCTGGGCCTCAGCCCCATCCCTGCCTCAGTTTCCCCCTCTCAAAGCCTGGTGCCAAGGTCCTGTTTTGGCTGGGGAGTGGTGGTGCCACTGCCATCCCCACGAGGGGCCACTCACCGGGAAGAGGACGATGGGGACGGTGAGGGTGACGGCCGTCAGCACGGCCACCCGCACGCACAGGATGAGCACGTCGAAGGGGTCCACCTTGTTGTACGTGTGCAGCAGCTCTGACTCCACCCGGCCTGTGGGCACCAGTGGGGAGCTGCTGGGTGAGCCCCATCACTGCCACCCCCCCGGTGCCAGCCTGTCGGCCGGGCCCCCCCTCCCCTCCCTGAGAGCTCACCATAGAACGTGAGGTAGCCGAAGAGGGCAGCCAAGAAGTACATGAGGTACATGACCATGATGGAGATGTTGGAGATGCACTGCATCTTCTTCTTGGAGGGGCTGTGGGAGATGGCGGGCTCAGCACAGCACCCCCTGCCCAGCCCACCCCGTGGTACTCACTGGCACAGAGCAGCCAGCCAGCAATGAGGGGTGACACTGGAGCACCTTTGGGGTGCTTGAGGAATGCACGGAGAGGGGCTGTGTTCCCCTTCCTGGGCTGTGTGTTAAATCACCCACCACTAACCAACCACCCATCCTCGGTCATAACACCCACCTTCCAGGGGTCATTTTACACATCACCCACCCCAAGTTGTATCACCCACCTCCCAGGGGTGGTTTCACCCAACACCAACCAGCCACCCACCCACTTGGGGTTATATCACCGATCTCCCAGGGGTCATACCACCCACCACCCAACCACCCATGCCAGGTCCTATCACCCACCTCCCCACAGTGCCCCGGTGCAGGTCCCACACCCAGATGGCACTGCATTTGGGTTGGCGTTGGATGAAGCCCACCCCTCCCCACGGGTGCCCCCACCCAGGACTCACTCCTTCAGCTCAGTGTAGATGGGCAGGACCTCGGGGTGGCAGACAAAGGCGAAGGCCATGATGGGGATGGTGTACGCCGTCTGCAGGAGAGGAGGGCGTCTGAGTGCTGGGGCCACGCTGGTGGACCTGGCCAGCACCAGGACCCCCCTGCCTTCATGGGGTGCACAGGGTGGGGGCTCACCCAGAGCCTCAGGTGCATCCCAGGTCCCTACCTGGGAGTTGAGGGTGAAGAAGCTGGGGGTGCAGATGCCCTGGTCAGGTGCCTGGAGGACAGTGTAGCCATTCTGGTAGTCACTGGTGCTGACAAAGGTGGCATTGAGGATGCCTGTGAAGTTGTCTTCCTGCTCAGGGAGGGGGCAGGGGATCTGGAACTTCTTATAGATGACCTGGCAGGGGGTGGACACGGGGATGGTTGATGCCCAGCACCACCAACCCCCAGCTCCGGCCACCCAAGCTGGCATCACACTGGGTGTGAAGTTGCCCTTGCAGGGACACCCTTTGCCAGTGGTGCCCCATGGCGATGCTGGACCCCCAGTTTGCCCCTGCCAGGGTGGGCAGTGGGGCAGAGCGGGGCAGCGGCACGTGGAGGGGTCACGCGTATGGTTCCCCCCCCGGCACCTTCTCCCTTCCCCTCTCCCCGGCGCTCGGCTCCTTCAGCCGAAAATAACCCAGCAGTGTGACAGCACCGCCACAGCGTCTCCGCAGCCCGGAGCGCCCGCTGTCCCCGTTGTGGCTGTCACCACACGCCGTCAGAGCCGTGCGCCCCAGCAGAAGGGATGGTCTCCATCCCTGGCCACCGGCGTGTGCTCACCGAGATGAGGAAGAAGCCCATACAGCTGAGGGAGAAGCCGCTGGCGTAGCCGAGGTAGCCTGGGGAAAGGAGGAGAGGGGCCGGTGGGTGTGGGCAGGACCTCCCCACCGGCTGGGTGCCCCCTGCTTGCCTGGCACCCCCAGGCTGGCACCGTCACCCCGCAGGAGTCCCAACCCTGGTGCCAAACACAGCATCCCCCTGACTTACCCAGCTGCTTCATGAGGGCCAGGGGCAGGATAATGGTGACGGAAACCAGGATCACCAGGTAGTTCCCGTTCATGTACCAGTCCCTGGAAGCAGAGGGTCTGCTCACCACCCCGCTCTGCCAGGGCACTGGAGGCACAGGCAGCCACTGATGGGGAGGCTGTCTGCCATCTGTGGGGACCCCAGAAATGGCAGCCCCAGGGACCCTGGAGCTGGCATCCCTGGACCCCTGAGCTGGCATCTCCAGGGATGCTGACATCCCTCCAGGCTGGCATCCCTGCCGTGCTAGCATCCTTGGGGACCCCTGAGATGGCATCCCTGGCAACCCCTGAGGCCAGTGTCCCTGGGGACCCTTGAGCTGGGGTCCTGCCTACCCACATAGTGGTGCATCCCCAAGGGCTAGAGCTGCTGTGGGCAGGCTGAGAACTGCTGTTCTCAGCACATGTCTGCCCATGGGCATCCCAGGATATCAGCATCGGTGAGAGGGATCAGCCAGGTCCCCAACATCCAGGGGCAGAGGGAGCCACCCCTGTCCACCCGTGGGGCAGGACCCACATGCATTCAAGCACCCCAGAGCAGAGTCGAGCCTGGCTGAGATGCCCCATCCCAAACTGGTGGAGGTCCCAGTGGCAGCTCTGCCCAGCATCTGCCCGGCTCTCACCCCCCGTGTTGTTCCCCCCCATAGCCCCAGGCTCTGCTCAAGGAGGAAAGCCTGATCCCAAGGGGATGTGAGGAGCAGGGATTGGAAGTTCAGCCCGGTTTAATCCCACCCGGGGGCTTATTCAGCACTGACAGTTATCAAAAATAGTAGTGGCTTAATGGCACTAAATCCCTGCCATGGGCTGCACAGCTGGAGAGGAAGCCCTGGCGCCCGCCCGGAGAAGGCAGGCGGGCAGCGCGGCGGGAGGCACTCACGTGGTCTTCTCCTCCAGGTTGAGGAAGGTCTGGATGACGAGAGGCACTTCAGATTTGACGATGTACAGGTAGCTGGACATGGCTGTGGGGCAGAGCAAGGTCATGCTGTGCTGGTGTGCCCCAGTCCCGTCCCCATTCCTCAGCCTCCCCAGGTCTCCTCCCCAGCCCTGTCCTCACCTCCGATGTTCTGCAGCGTGATGGCGATGGCTGCGGCCATCTTCCCCGGCGTGCCGAAGGCTCGGTAGCCCAGCTGCTCGTAGGCACGGATGCCTGTGGGGTGGGGAGTGGCGGCAGGGTGAGGGTCGGGAGGGGACCCCCAGCATAGCCCTGCTGGGGACCCAACACTCACCTACGATGCCAGAGGACTTGAGCAGCAGGTGGATGGAGTAGCTGGAGAGCAGGGCCACCGCTGTCAGGAGGAAGCTGTGGGAGGACAGGACCATCACCCATGGGTCACAGCACAGCCGTGGGACAAACCCTGCGTGGACAGGCTCTGCCTGCAGCTGTCCTGGCAGCCCACTCAGACCCTCTCCTTGGCACTGGCTGGATGCTCATGGGGATCATGGGTTCCAGGGGGTGGGCATCCCACAGGCAGGGGGGCTGCCACTGCCCTATGGGTCTGTGTCCCCGCACCCGAGGAGAGCCAGCACCTTTGGGCCGTGTGGGGAAATCTGGCCTTGCATTGAGGAAGTCAAGCCTTCATCATCCTCCTCTGTTGGGCACAGAGCCCAGCAGGGGCAGATGGGCACATGCCAAGGACTGGCATTGCTCAGGCAGCAGGACACCCGTCCCTCTGTCACCCTGAGCCTTTCTCTCCTGCACCCCTGGCACCCACTGATGCCCTTGGATGAGCCCCCCACACCCAGAGCCCCCCACCTGAGCCCCTGTGGGGACGCAGCACTCACAGAAAGAGGATGATGCCGGTGTTGGCCATGGCGTAGGCCAGCCCTAGGATGCCGCTGCCCATGATGGCGTTGCTCAGGTTGAAGACGGACATCCCAAAAGACGTCTTCCCTTCGAACTGCACACACGAGACACGACAGGGAGGGGATGCACCGGGAGCTGCCCCCCATCCTGCCGCCACCACGGTGCCCGTGCCAATACTCACGTCAGTGAAGTGCGTCTGCTTCTTCTCAGCGCCGTGGGGCAGGAACTCCTCCATCTCCGCTGCACCAGACTGGTTCTCCTCAAACCTGGCCGCCGGAGGGAGGGGTGTGAGGCCGAAGCAGAGCTGGGGGCCACCATACCCACCCTGTGCCCATGCAGTGCTGGCTGGCATTGCAAGGGCAGGGAGCAGCCAGGAGGACTCCCCGAGTCCCTGGCACCCCCACTTGTCCCAAGGTCCCTACCTGTCCCCTGCCAGAGAAGGGACAGCCGAGGCAGTGAGCGCGGCCGTGTGCTTCCCGTTGGGCACCAGCTCCACCATCTCGGCCTGGAGGGGCACGTCCGTGGCATCCATGGTGAGGAGGTGGCTGGTCTCACTTTGGGCTCTCCTTGGGCTCTGCAAGAGGGGGGCAACAGCGTTCCAGCTCTGGATGGGAGCACTGGAGGGGCTGGTCCCACAAGTCCTGTATCCACCAGCAACACTGGAGTTGGGCTCAACACCAGTGCTGGTGGCATCGCAGGGACAGGCACCCAGGGGTGATGGAGATGCATCATCACCAGGGCTGAATTTCTCCCTTCTGCCTGCTCAGCACACAACGCCCTGCCGAGCTCCTACAGCCCCACAGAGTCCCCAGGTGGGACCGTCCCCTTGCCCAGCAAGCAACCCCACAGCCCACCCCGCAGGACCGCTCCTCTCCCCTGCCCGCAGCCCGGTGCCAGCCCCGCAGCCTCCATCCGCGACGCCTGCCCACCTCCACTCCCTCGCCTGCAGCTCTCCACTCCGTGCCTCAGTTTCCCCTCCTGAAGACGGGCACCGACAGGGACATTTGGGAGGGCAGCCGGGGACGGGGCGGGGAGCTCGGGGACCCCCCAGCCACCGCCGTTACGTAAAGCCCGCAGCGATGCCCGGCACGAAAGGCTCGCCCATGTCCCGCCGCCCGGGGCTGGCGCTGCCGGGGTGCCAAGGCAGGGGGCTCAGGGGCACGTCAGGGCCGGACAAACGGAGCAGGAAAGAGCGCGGGACAGGGAGACAGCTCCTTGGCAGGGGAAGGCAGCCGGGCTGCCGAGCGCGGGACGCCTTGGCACGCCGCACAAAGCCGCCTCTGTGCGAGCCCCAGCCCTCCCCGCCCCGCTGGGAAACGGCACAGGGTGGCTTTCTGGGGCAGGCTGGCAGCCGGGGCAGGGTCCTCCACCACCCCCCAAAAAGGCCCAGGGGGCTGGGGTCCTGTCTGCCCGGCCAGGGGGGACTCCACATTGGGGCCATGTCCGGCCGAGGGGCAATGCCATCTGGCACAAGGCGAGGGTCGGACGGGATGCGACACAGTCCCCGAGCCGGGGAGGATGCTGCTGCCCCATCACCCCGGTGTCTGGGGTCCCCATGGGGTGAGCAGGGGACATGCCATTCTTTGGGCTCCCAGGGGATCGGTGGCCCTGGGGACCAGGCAGGTCTTCCCATGGCACTGCTGGGGCAGGGAGATGCTGGGGATGCTGGCAAGCAGGAAGGATGCCATGACGGGGTGTGGGCACCAGCACCTCCGGGCTCCTGAGCTGCTGCCCTGTTTGTCCAGGCCACCAAGAAGAGCTGGTAGGGGTCATCCCAGGCTACCTACTGGCTGCCAGCACTACCTGGGGGGCCAAGCCCCTAAGGTCTGACCTGGGGTGAGGGGGACATGGCTGGGCCACCCTGCCCGCGGTACCCAGCCTGGTGGGGAAACTGAGGCAGGGTGCAGGCCGGGGGGGGACCAGAGCAGGGACGCTCAGCCTCGCGGGGGAAGAGAGGGAAGCGCTGGGTGATGATTTATCCCCTCTGTGAGGCCTCCGCTTGGGCCAGATCCAGGCACGAACAAGGCTGCCAGCACGTCCAAACGCTGCCGTTAACTCTGCGCCTTCCCGCCACCGCCGGGCAGGCATCCCCAAACCCACCGTGCCACCCTCAAGGGGGGCCACCAGATTCCCCGGGGCTCCATCACCTCCCCAAACTGCCCCCCTCCAGCACCACCAGGCTGCCCGCAGAGGAGGGCTCAGCTGCATCCCACCAGCGGCGGGCAGCAGCTGCCCCGCTCCCCCTGCCCGCTCCCCCCACAGCGGGCGCCGGGGAGGCTGGGCGCTCTCCTCTGCAGCCCCTTTCTTCTCCCAGGTTATAATTACACCTCGCCGGGGCGGCTCAGGAAATACCAGCTTCTTCCCCCGAGCGCCTCTCGGAATAGCAAGCGACACGGCCGGGCTCATTTCGCATGCACCGGGCTTAGCACCACCACCCAGACGCTTCCTCCCGCCAGGCAACGCTGGCACAGCCTTTGGCATAGCCCTGGCACAGCGCTGGCACAGCCCCCGGCACCGCTCGCCGACACCTCCCCAGCCGGCCCCGGCCTTTGCCCCTCGGCCAGGGTCTCCCGGCGGTGGTGGCCGGGGAAAGGGGGGGTAGATGAAAGGGGGAGGGCATGGGAGACGCTTCGATCGGGCAGAGCGTGCCCTGCCCGCCGCTGTTTGCCTTGCGATAAGGCTGGGCAGAACAGCAAATACATGGAGCGGCGGATGGCCCCGGGGTGGGTAGCACTGGTCCCCCCTAAGCTTGGGGAGGGGGACAATGGGTTCACCCCTGTCCCTGTGTGCCCACCTCATTTGGGGACCCTCCGCTGCAGGCAAAGAGCATTTCCGTGGGGATCTCTCCCCGTGGCGTGCCAGCCCCAGAGCCCCAGCCCAGCCTGTGCCACTGCACGGATGGGGACACTGCTGTCCCTCACTGTCACCCAGCATCGATCTCCCTCCTGCCTGCTCGCCCCAGCGCCCACTCGCCCACCCCTGATGGCGTGGGCACAGCCACGTGCGTGGGCACAGACACCCCCCACACACACACTGTGGCATCCAGGGGCACGTCCCCGGGGGTGCTGAGCCAGCTGCACTGATTTCCCGGCATGCGCCTCTCCGCCGGCCCCGGGTGACAAGGACAGTGACAGCCCCACCGCACCGACACCTCCTGCCTCTCCCTACCCCAACCCCGGGGGGCTGCTCTCGCTGTCCCACCGCTCGGTGACACTGGGGATGTTGTCCCCCCCATCAACCCTCCAGGCAGACTGAGGGTGCCCCCGGTGCCGCCCCACAGCCCCCCCCCCGCCACGGGGAAGGCCCAGCCGTTATGCGTGGGGCGGCACGTACCCTCCCCGCCAGCCACGTCTGCGCATCGGGGCAGGCTACGTTTGGCCTCGCACGCCGCGTCCCGGCCAGCACAGACGCCTGCCCCCCCCTCTCCGGGACGGGGACACGTGTGTGGGGCGGCAGGGCTTCCCAAATCCCTTCCCAGCCCTGGCAGGCAGCCCCATGCTTTCCCCAGGACCCCCACCAGCCTTCCCCCACTGGGGGGATTTGGTCCTGGAGGGGGTGCAGCCCCTCTGCCCGACACCTCGCTTCTTCCCAGACTTTATTTAAAAGGTGGAAAAATCCCAGCTGGGAGCAAAGCAGAAGCGGGAGCGGGGCAGGGGAGGGCAGCTCTGTCGTCAGCGCCAGTGGGACGTCAGATGGGGGGGGTCCATTGTACCCGGCTGCGTGGTGAGGAGGAGGTGTACCACCCCGGGACAGCCTGGAGCTTGTGCCACACTGGATCTCCAGGTCAAGCCTTGGCACCGTCCCTGCCAGAGCATGCCATGCTGGTGGGACTATGGCACACGTGGGGACCGGCCCCCCATGGTGCCAGCCTGGGGTGCGATGACCCTTCGTGTCCTCCAGAGCCCACAACACCCCTCCGTGGGCACCCACTGCTGTCACCCACAGGGGACAAGAGCGCCAGGTCTCCCCGGCAGGGGTGGGTGCTCCCCCAGGCTGGGGACCACCGCAGGGCAGAGCCCCCCCCCCCTCCATCTCCTCTCCTTCTGCAGATGAATCCTGGCTAATCCGCCCCAGCTGGGGCGCGGGACTATTCCGGGTGGTAATCCGGATTTAGCGCCAAGCCTAACGCAGCTGCCAGCCTGCGTGCTCACAGCCAGGTACCCCGCCGCCGCCAGTGTGTGCTGGGGGGCTGGCAGCAAGGCCCCCCCACCCGTGCCCGCCCGGCTGTTCGGGTTTCAGCAGAGCTGGGCACGCAGAGGTCTCATGTTCCCTGGGGCTGCGCTTGGTGACGAAGTCCCCCCACCCCCCCGAAGAGACCTGTGGGCAAGCAGGCAGGGAATCCCCGCCGTGTCCCCCCACTGCCATCAGCCCCCCCAGCACTGCTGCTGGGCATGGGGTGACCCCCATGAGGTCCCTGGCCAGCCCCTAGAACTGCCATGGGGAATTGTGGGCAGAGCTGGGGCGACAGCTCAAACCTCGGGGGTCCCTGGGCATCACCTCCCCAGCAGGGCAGGCACACGCAGTGGGGACCCCTCCACACCTCCCACTCCCCCTCCACAGAGAACCCCCCACCCCACAGCAGCCCTGGGACCGCGGGCACTGGGAGCGGAGCCAGCCCGACCCCGCGGAAGAGGGACCTGCCCTTCCCCCCCTCCCCGGCACACACAGACATGGCTTTCCCCCTGACCTGCCGTCCTAAAATTAGCACCCCAAACCTGTTTTTAAACCTATGGCATTTCTCCCGCCCCACCACCTCCCAGCCAAGCAAGGGCAATGACATGGTTCTACCTCCCGTGGGGGCAGCAGGCACCCAGAAGGGCAGATCCAGCTGCCCAGTGGCACAGCCGGGCACCTCACCTTTGGGGTGAGGGCTCTGGGGTGCTCCCCCCGTGTGCACAGGGACACCAGCAGTGGTGGGGAGGGGTGACTGGAGACAGCCTGCACAGCACAGCTGGAGAGTCCCTCTGGGTACCCCACTGAAGACCCTCCCCAAATCGACCTGCTGGACGCCCTGAGGAGATCTCCCCACCAAACAGCCAAGCCAGTCAGCCCCACTCATGGTCCCAGCACAAGCTGGGCAGAGTGGCCACCACTCCTGGGCTCACCTAGCCCCAAACACCACACCACAGCTCAGCCTCACACCAAGCGGTGCCCCTGGCACTCTGACCAGGGCAGAATTGGCAGTGCCAAGAAGGAGCAAGTGGCTCTCAAAGCTGCTGTCCCAGCTAGCAGGGACTCTGGTGGCACCAACACTGCCCTGGTAGGTCCAGGCTGCCCCTGCCATGCCATGTGGCAACCAGTGTCGACCCAAGATCTTCCTTTGAAGAGCACAAGCAGCGCCCATGTCCTCTGCCCGAGCCCAGGGACCTGCCCGCAGGCAGAACGTGCCAGTGGCTGGGCTGGCTCGTGGCCACTGACCCCAGCACCATCCTGCAGCGATGGATGTGCTGGGGTCTGGGACACACCGAGGAGGGGAAAGGCAACTGGGGGAAGGGGGTGGCGGAGCCCAACGTCACGGGAGGGCCATGGGGCTATGGTTTTCCAGCACCAGAGCCATGGCGCAGTTCAGTCACAGCAATGTCCTGCCACCCACACACCCCAGGATGGGGCCACGGGGGGAGCGATGGGCTGTGACGCAGGTACCAGCCACCACCGTCACGCCACATCCTCCCACATCCAAGCACCAGTAGCGAGGTGAGCTGGGAAGAGCGATGGGGAAACTGAGGCCAGGCAAGGGGAGCTGTGCCCAGCAGCCGCTGACACAACCCAGTGTGGCAGGAAGGGGTAGAGTCCGTGTGGGACAAGGTCAGGCAGCAGAGGCGGCTGGCAGCATGGGGACAGGGATGGGGACAGGAAGAGCACAGCACAAGGCCATGGCACCCAGCGTGGCTCTGGGGGAGGCCGGGTGAGACAGCAGCTTGAGCCCAAAGCTCAAGGCTAGAAGTTGGGTTTTGCTTTAAACTTAAAGTCAACGCGCTGCCCATCAGGGGCTCAGGGCCACCTGGGCAGGATGGTGGCATAGATGGTGGCACAGTGGGGACTGATGGGCACATAACACCTGAAAAAACGCTTTA